GTCTATTTCGGGTTTCCAAGTCTGGTAAATCTGCGTCGAATTACTTTTTTACTCTGAGCTTTGGATCTACATGTATTTCATTGCATTCATTAAAGTACAGTTGATACAACTTTTCTATCGTAAATTCTGTGCCAAGATAATCTCTCTAACTCCTTTCTCTGGAATAATAAATCTTGCACTTTTGGGAATGATTTAATATGTTGATGTATTCTATTTATGGTTTCGGTAGGAGTTTTATTGATTAGCGTGTGTCTACCTCTTTGATCAGCTTTTATTAAACCTCCTGGCTCAATTTTTTTCAACATATTTACTACTACTAAATTAGATATACAAAGTGTGTTTTCGCAGATTGTTCACTGTAAAAAGGTAGTGTAGTGTATTATTTTTAGATTTGGTAGAATTTAGGTCTTTTTTTGTTAATCGAAGAGTAGGTTGGATGTCGACACATGAGAAGATAAATTGCTTTTTAACATCTGAAACGTTTGTCTCAGTCCAGTATGAGTTGAAAACTTTTTGTCTTTCGTATTCTGGCAATCTTTTAGAGCATTTCATGCGACACATGCAAGGAAGCTTTAACATTTTTGAAGGCATGTTTTTGCCCTTTTTACTGAGATGCTCGTTCCCACCAGCTATTTTTGATTTGCGAACATTACAGACCCAATTTTGTTCATTTGCTACACGTTTTTTGTCTTTTTGTTTGCACTTAGTTACATTTTGTACCTTTCTTTTAACACTATTCTCTTCTTCTAAAATAACTTCATTATGTTCATTGCAATTGCCTGCATCACTGCTTAGGAATAAATCGTCCTTAAGAAGATTTTTTGTTATTGCCACACTAGTCGTAGGAGTAATAATAGCTTTCTCTTTTATCTTTGTTTTCACTGGTTTACTTATACGTCTCATATCATTGTCGTCTGATTCTGAGTTTAGAGGCTCATAAGTTATATCAATATCCGAATTATTATCTCCAAACAAATTATCATCTTCGTACACTTCCTCGCCATTACCTTGGAAGTTACTGTAATGACCAGGTGGTTCTGAAACAAATCCAGCCTTGTAATAATAATTATAGACTAATTTTATAGGCCTATAATTGGCCAACACAAAAATAATCCTTATAACCAAAGATCGGAATTTACTGAGCAATTTCCGTTACTTCCATTAAAAAAATATAGATCTGGCAACATCTGTTTACCCTAATCTGTTGGTATCAACATTAACAATAGTTTTTGGGGTACCGGTTACACCTAACGGTAAATAAATTTTACCCAATCTCTTGTAGTCTTTTGTTCATACGAGTATATATTGATAATTGCTTGGTAAATTCCTGTCTATGCCGACAACACAATAATATAAATGGCAATGCATGTTACATAAATAACTGACAACAATCATACCATATTATGGTCATTTAAAAAAACAGACGAAATTCTTTACTAGTAACAAGAACATACTAACTGATACTTCTATTTTAACGGTAGATAGAAAAAATGTATGTACAGTTTGAAATTCTGAGCCCTATACAAAATAATATACAATACTAAATATTTGAGGTTAGAAAAATACAAATTAATTAGTGTTAAAAAACAATAGCTTACCTGTAAGTGTTGTTTTATTTGGAATATTACATGACATTAATTGTAATATTATTTTTCCACGAGAGTTCGGATCCATTTTACAATTATTAAACAACGAACTTATTGTACAACTTTTATCAACCTAACACAATTGCGATCTAAATAAAAAGGTTGCAATGATTTTAGATCATGATAATTCCGCCAGGTACAAGGGTACATAACACTATGTCCGGATAGTAAATGACAATGCACACATTTACTAGAGGTAAATAACACCAAGTCCACATGGTGTTGTTTACCTCTGACTGGAAGTGGACTTGGTGTTTATTAAAAAGTCGGTAACTTGCCGTAAAATTATCTCTGGACATAGTATGGTTTATCTATGTGTAGAGCCAGAAAAGTTATATTCAAAAGTGCAATAATCTAAATTTCGATAAAAATGGACATAGTGTCCTTTACCTCCGAGTATCAAAAACTCTGGGACACGTTAACTTTTAAATTTAAATGTGCGCTTTTTAAACATAAGTTTAAATGTACAGGGTGATCCACGCACGTCTGTCCACGCATAGTCCATAATCCTTATTTTTAATGAAACACCCTGTATATTTTTATGTTTTTAAAATACTTGTAACAACCTGATTTCAATGAACTATATCATGTAGGGTCTATAATGAATAATACAAGGTGAAATTTTGAAATTAATAATTTAGCACGTGTTATGATATTATTTTAAATTAGCTAAATACAGACAATAGATTTCTACTCTAAGTGTCAGTACACTGTATATTGGGGAAATTTTCTGTTTAGTAACCGTGTTAACATTTTTTGTCGTGAATAGGTAAAAACTGTAAAGATAGTCTGCTAATTAAACTAAATCGGTAAATAAGGCGGATTGTTATCAATCAGTTGACATGTTGTTGACATTTTACATTAAAATAATAAATTCTTAATTAAAAACTAATTTCTTGCAGAAATAAAAATGAAATATTTAACTAAGGCCCACCGAATTGAGATTTTAATGATGATCGGTTACGGGGAGAATTGTAGAAGTCAAGTTGAAGTAGTAAACTTATTTAATCAGAGGTATCACCAATTGCCTAATATTTCACAAGGTACTGTGTCTAAAATTTATGCACAATTCAGAGAACTTAGATATGCCAAACCATTAAAAAGAAAATCGAACTTCATTGAAGATGAAGTGAAAGTGTCGCAGAGAATCCAACGTCAAGTTCACGTCAAATTGCTCGTCAAAATAATGTGTCATCTTTCACAATTGTCCTAAGGTGTCTCCATGAAGAAAACTTCATCCATATAAATTGACATTTGTGCAGGAGCTAACAGAAGACGATACGGATCGTAGAATGGATTTCTGCAAAAGAATGAGGGATAAAATTAACAAATGAAATAGCTCTTGGCACAATTCTTATTTCTGATGAATCAAAATTTACATTGAACGGAGAGGTAAACTGACAAAACTGTAGATATAGGTCAGCGGAGAATCCTCATTGAATGCGTGAGACACACACTCAGAATCCTTAAAAGTTGAATGTTTGGTCAGGTATTATAGGAGATCATATTATTGGTCCTATATTTATAGATGATAATTTGACAGCGGAAAAATATTTAAGCATGCTAAGAGACGATGTTCTTCCTTAGTTGGCTAACTTATATCCCAATCCAATAGAACCGACCCTACCGCATGAAACTGTTTGGCTCCAGCAGGACGGTGCAACACCCCATTATGCTTTAATGGTGAGAAATTACTTTAATGAAATCTTCTTCAATAAGTGGATTTGATGAAGGGGACTAGTGAGCGGCCAGCTAGATCGCCAGATCTTACGCCTTTGGATTGTTTTGTGGGGTTATCTTAAGAACAAAGTATATGCAACACAATCAACTATCATTGAAGACCTCAAAAAGTAAGAATAACTATAGAAATACGGAATATTTCACCTCAAACTTTAAACAAAGTTCGGAACGAGTTTTATAGGAGACTGTGTTATTGCCAACAACAAGCTGGAGAACATGTTGAGCATTTATTTTAATGTAATCCAATCAATTACCTCGGGTATTCTATGAATTCATTGTCTTGAAGAAAATACCTAATTTCAAAATTTCACCTTGTATTATTCATAATAGACCCTACATGATATAGTTCGTTGAAATCAGGTTGTTAAGGAGCTTTTAAAAACATGAAAATATACAGGGTGTTTCATTTAAAATACAGATTATGCACTATACCAGACTTGCATTGATCATCCTGTACATTCAAATTTATGTATAAAAAGCGTACATTTAAATTTAAAAGTTAAGGTATCAACGTTTTTTATTATTTTCTAAAATAAGAACACAAACAATTTTATTCCATAAGTGGTTTCCAATCTGTATATATATATATGTATATATATATATATATATATATATATATATATATATATATATATATATATATGAAGAGTAATTGCCGCTCTCTTTGGGCTCTTCCGATTCATTTGTCGCGGGGAATCAATCCGCATTAACATTTTGGTTTTACAATTGGTTGTGACTTGGCGTCTTCTACAATATTTCTCCATTCTTTTTTATTTTGCTTATGGTTTTCCATATCCAAGTCTTATATATATGTATATGTATATATATATATATATATATATATATATATATATATATATATAATAAATAAAAATAATACTGGATATTAGTGACTGTCGATATAAACAAACAACACAGTTTATTAGGGCTGCAGTCAGAAGTTTGGCCGGGATGTTACAGAAATACTCTTTTGACTTTTGGTCTAGCTTTCGGAATCGTCTTATTCCTTTTTCAAGACATAGTCGTTGAGATTAGTTATATAAAGCTATGACCCTCAACATTAATAACACACATAAAATAATGGACAAAATACATTTTAAAATTTAGTTAAGGATAGTTAAACTTTGTTTGTGACATCTTGTGATCCATAGAGAACAGAACGAAAAAAAGTTTTTCGTTCTGTTCTCTATGGATCAATTCCGAAAGCTAGACCAAAAGTCAATAGAGTGTTTCTGTAACATCCCGGCCAAACTCCTGAATTATATATTTGTCACAACATGGCCGGAACTGTTAAATGGACAAGCGTCATTCGGTATTTAACTAAGTCAATTCTAATCCATTGGCCAACGACTTCTTAACCCTCTTCAACCTTAGAAGACTGAAAAGATTAAACCTTATAGATCTCCTTTTCTCTTTTCCACTAGGAACAGATTCATAGTTATTTATCTAGATAGTAGTTGTTATAATATTACCAACGTAATCAAATATTAAGGATGATCACCACTGGGAGTAGCTCTCATATAGTGTCTACTGTTATATACCAGACTACAACAAGGACATTTAAAAAATTTATAGCTAACACTGACCTTAACCTCTTCAGTAATATGTACCTACCCGTTAGCAAAAATTGTGATTGTTGCGATGGCGCTAGTGGTGTATTAGATGATGTCTGAACAACAACCGGGGACGCATTGAGCATCATTGTAGAGGAAGAACAATTTGATGTGTTTGGTTCTCTCAATGTTTGACTTTGCGTTTGTCGTCTAGGGTAGCGTTCTAGTTGCTGTCTCGCAGCATTAACTTGTTGTCTTTCTAATTGTAACTGCATTTGTAGCTGTTGTAGTTGAGTTGGCGTACTACTGTTAGTATTACTCGCTGATCTCCTAACCCCTAAAATTTATCACACTCATACTTTTAGAGCAAACAATTCATATTTTCACATGATATTTGTAATGAGTAGTAAATATGTAATATATAGTTATTTCTTCCAAGTAAATGTAATGTATATTTGAAAAAAACTTTGAAAAGACGAACTGTGCAATAAAATATGTGAATGAAATAGATTTTTTGTTTTCACCTTCTCTTTATGTTTTATAATCTATTATACTTAGCTGTAATATAATTTCAGAAAATGAATTTGGCGGGATTTTTCGTACGCTGACACTCTAGATGCAACTATTGGATGAAGATTAGCACTGTTTTGACAGATGAAGGTTAACACTGTTTAGCTTGTGTTGTGTAATGCAATGTATAAGAACTAGTTGATACGCTAAACTGAAGTTTCTACTAAAAGCAGACCTAATGTATATGATATGAAGAGATGGAGTACTTGCGTAAATCTATTAATAGCGACAAGATAATGCAACTTAACTCATATCGCTTTGGTGGACTACACAAAAGCTTTCGACAAGGTTAATCATGAACTGCTACGGACCCTACCAAAAATATAGGATTTCCAATACAGGTTATTAAACGCTTATGTCGGAAGCGTTTATATATATATATATATATATATATATATATATATATATATATATATACTGGCGACCCTGCCAGTCGTACACAGTCTCCTCGATATGGGGCCAACCGTCGCAGATGTACGATCTTCTTTTTATTCTTGATCGTTTGATTTGGTAGAAAACATCATTGATTCGGGCTACCACGGAATACGGTCCTTCTCATGACTTTTGTAGCTTTGGGCATCGCCTTTTATAACGAACTGGATTACTGAACTCAGTATAGACCACGTTGCTAGCATCAGTGTCGACTATAAACTTGCATCGGAATGTAGTGATGACAGTATTGGTGCAGTGGTGAGGGAGTCTTTCAGTCTATCAAAAGCTTTTTTTGGCACTGTTCATTCCAGTTAAACTATTGGTCTGCTTCCGTTAGCTTATGTAAAAGTTTTGTTATGTCAGCAAATCCTCTTACGAAGCGGCGATAGTATGAACACAAGCCCAAAAGGCATCTCAATTGATGCTTGTCTACAGGGACTATAGAGTCCCTGTTTTAAAGTGTTTTTTAAACCCAGGAATTAAAATTCTCTCTCCCTCTCTGTATATATATATATATATATATATATATATATATATATATATATATATATATATATATATGCGCGTCACGAAAAAGAAGCCACCTAAAATGTTTGCCATTTTTAAATTTTTAGGAATCATACCACAAAGTGATTGTCATTAGATATTTGTGTTATGTTTAAGAATATGTTATAAAGCAGTATGCAATCATTTTTTAAATAACAAATGTCAAAAAACAACTTCTTCCAAAATGATGATTTTATTGAAAAATGAAAAAAAATTAACATTATACATGTTTTCTGTTTTCTTTATAAAATTACAATTAAGTCGTGATTATTAATACTGTGTATTACCACCTCTATTGTGAATTACACTCCTCATTCGATTTGGCATTGAATTGATCAAATTCTGGATGTCGTTTTGAGAAAAAGCTTCCCATTCTTCCATGAGCGCCAACCGAAGATGCTCACGATTTATTGGAGCAGGTATTATGTTTCATACCCTTCGTTTGAGTTGGTCCCAAACATATTAAATCGGGCTCAAATCTGTACTTTGAGCCGGCCAGTTTATTTTTGACACACTGACAGTTTCCAGATATTGCGTTACCATCATGGCTACGTGTGGTCGCGCGTTGTCTTGCATAAAAATTAAGTTTTCGCCGCTCGTGGTCTCTAGCAAACTGTAATCGGCGTTGTCGATGTGCTGCTGTTAACAAAAGTCCTGTTGCTGGACAGCTAGTCCTTAGAAAAAATTCCCTCAACTTTCTTCTCACGGTAGGAAAATAAGGTACTTCAATTATCCACACCTTTATCACGCTTTGCATAGATATTCTGGAAAAGTTTTGAATACGCTAGAAAATCTTTCCTTTGCATTTCGATAACCTGGAATTTCTTCTTACCGGGGACAGGTAACAAACTGGTACCAGTCATGAGGTATCCTATTTCAATTTGTGACGATTTTTTGGCACGCTCAATTCTTGCATGGTCGACATCACATTCCATTCTAGTAGTCTAGTAGTGGAAGTAGTTCCACTTCCAGGAACTTGTGTTGTATTTCATTTATGGTTGTTGATCTATAAACAAATAAAGACAGTGCTCCTGCAACAATGTTATTTTTGTTTTGTCCGGGACAAGAATCCGAATATAGATCAACTTTTTTAACTGTATCAACTAAGCTCTCAAGGTATTTTAACAGGCAAGAAGCAACTTGATCTAATCCACGGCCTGACAACTCCTCATGCCACATAAAACATGAAGTGGTATTTTCAGTGCAATTTTTGATGGTGAGGTTATATGTCCAGAGCAATCTTTTATAGTAGACTACATTTGTGCTTAAATTGGGTGTTGGTAGGATCTGTTATAAGTCAAATACTATAATAACCATTTTACGCTACTGTTTCTGGAGAACTCTATATCTGCTTTTTTTTCACCATACACAATCTCTGCTAGCTGAAGGTGTTTATTTTTCTCTTCATCCATGGCTACACGTATTTGTTCACTATTAGAGGATTTTTTCTTGTTTTCTAGATAATCACAAGTCTTACATGTACTGATACTAGGATTTTTAAATTTATATATTATATTTAAAATATATTTTATTATTTAAAGTTCTTTAAAAATCTTAGCATAAAATGAATATGATACAGGTATTGTCCTGTTTATTAAATAAAGATCATACATAAGTTTAATATTTAGATTAGGAGCTAAATAGAGTCCACTTGTGTGTCTTCGAAAGTAGTGGCTCTCATATTTTGGAAAAGACTCTATGTGTTTTTTAGCTTCAGCTTTTTCGTCTAGTCGAGCGTTATGTGGTTGGCGTTTTCCATATCCATTAGGTTCTATAAAACCCGTGGGTGATATTTGTTTTTTTTTATCAAAATATCAATTTTTCCTCTTGTGATACCATGTAGATTCTGGAACATGTATTTGCAAACTTTTAACGTTTTGTCGTTATATGTGATATTATAGGATACCACAATTTGTCTGTTTTTATTATTTCCTCGTTCTCCTTTATCTTTTCTTTCTGTCTTCTTTGACTCAATCTTCACTCTTTCAGAAATTACTTGGTCTTTGTCTTGCACTTTTTTAAGAAAATCATAAAAAATTTCTTTTTGTTCATCTATGGAGAGTTTCTCGTGACATTTATTGCGACAGCAACTAGTAAGCACTTGAAATACTTTTGCAGGTATTTTGTATACCTTTCCTTGTAATATGTTCTTCTACTAACATCTTCTCTTTCATTTCTACTCTGTTATATTTCGGTTTTTTAGGTTGAACATTAGAGTTAGAGTTATTTATTTGGTCTTTACCATCGTCACTTTTATTTGTAAAGTTATCATTACTTACTCAGTCATCCGTATTATTACTGGAAGTAGCTGTTGTTTTACACTTTTTAGATGGCATTGCTTGATATTTACCTGGCCTCTCATTGTCACTTGTGTCAGATAAAATGTCCAAAGGAATATAATCTTCATCTACATCTGAATTATCACTATTCAAAGATGACACTAATTCTTCAGAACGGCCAGTGGATCCAGAAGTTGAACTTATTTCTTTCATTCCGGCATCAACAAAACACCTTTTCAATGCTCTTATATCACTTCCCACTGATTTTTTAATGTCCTCACTTTCAGTGTGTAATACTGTTTCTACGATATTTACTAAAACCGCCAAATCTTCATGTTGGCTAATAATCATATCAACTAACAGCTTTCCAGGCGGCATACTTTTACTAATAGTTTTCTTAAGACAACCAAAGAACCACCTTAATTTAGTAAAATGCACAACAACAAAATTAGGTTATGTTATCGTCAGCTGGTAACCAAAACTTGATATGTCTATAAAACATCCGTCCACATTTTAAATCTGATGATGACAAAACTTGATATGTCGACTTACCAACTTTTGGCAAATATTATAATGAGGTAATTTAATACATCATGTTTAGTCTTTAACATTATCTTTAATAATTAATTACTATTTAACTGGGAGAATAAGCCACAATTAAAAATAAAAATACGTTTATTGACGTTTCAATTTCCACTTCGGAAATCGTTATCAAAATACAAACAGAAAATAATAATAATAATATTTCAGAACAATAATATTGTCCTTAGACATATCAAGTTTTGCCAAATAAAAATATAACTTTATTATTAAACACATATCATGGTTCGCAAAGCTGAAAACCATGATTTTTGACATATCAACTTTTGGCAAATATCTCTCTCTCTCTCTATATATATATATATATATATATATATATATATATATATATATATATATATATATATATATATATATATATATATATATAGAGAGAGAGAGAGAGAGAGAGAGAGAGATTAAACATTGCTATAGATATCGGATGAGTTGTTCTTTTGCTAGTAAGAGCAAACCACTAAAATCTCCGATAAATGCCTAACTGATAGTGACGAACGGGTCACAGCTGATCTAAAAAATCAGCCAGCTCTGCCAACTAATCGTACCTCCTACGTCCTAGAAAAAATAATGGGTGCTGTACTATTTCAAGGTCCAACAGACGACCTCAAGTTAATAGCATACGCCTCCACCAAACTCCGTCCCGCTGAAATGAAGTACCATATCAACGAGGAGTGCATCGCTCTGGTATGGGCACTCCGCAAGTTCCGCCACTTCCTACAGGACCAGAAATTCACGCTCTTCACTTTAGCAGGGCTCTACTCTGGCTGGACCGCTTCAAGGAGGACAAGGCAAAACTAGAAAGATGGTCGTCGCTCATACTCCAAGAGTTTAACTTTCATCCATATATCTGGAGAAGAAATCGAACTCTCAGACCATCTGTCCAGAAATCCTCAAAGAGAGCTCGTAGCTGAGC